AGTCCTATGTTCCCAACAATATTTCTGATATAATTAAACTTCTGTACCTTAATGGGGAATTATCTGATGAATTAATAATTTATTATCGTTAACGATGTTTCAATCTGATTAAGTTCAACCACGTTAATGTAATTTCAAAAGGGAATGAATTATCTGCGGAAAATCGCTCGATGACAGATAGATTACTTATTTATCACTCGTAATTTGCTCTTCTGTCTCGTAAATATCCGATCGGTTAGACGGAATTATAACAACGATTCCGCGTCGGACAAATTGTAAGCCATCGATTCGATGCATTCGGTGGCACGAAATCGGACGGAATGGAATCAGTATCGTGAAAGAAATCCCATTTAAGCGACGTGAAATTTCAGGAAACGCCAATGAAATTGTAGATCCTTGTATCAAGAACGACACGGGGGATGAATAAATCTGGGGAACTTGAAAGATCGAAGAGTACAATTCCCTTTTCTCCGTGAGGGTAATGTAATTTTTAACGGCACCGGATTCCCAGCCTCGTTTAAAGGGTTTTCACTATGCAATTTAACGGGGCTTATAAATCGCTTTTCGTATCGATTATCGACGATCGCGTATAATAAAGCGAATTCGAGAAATACGAGTTTCTTTGAATATATTCTTCGAATCGAATGAAGTTAAATAAAAAGGAAAATTGAAATACGTGATTATATCATGTATTAGTTACGCTAATTTGGAAATGCCTGAACTCATAATTGACCAGAAATTCTGACAATTAAAATGAAATTCCCCGACGTTAAGGCATCCTTTCATCACCCGACAGGAGCAGCTAACCATCGAAACTTTGCCTCTAGAAAGCATTCCAACTTTCTCCATTCATTCTATCGCAAACCTGTCTGTCTAAAAGCAAGCCTCTAATGTATTCAGAAAAATGTCAAGGCTATTATTTTCAGTAATTTCAAACTCGATATGGATTTTTATATTTACCTCCTCTTTTAATAAAAATTCTAGAAATGTAATTTAGTGATATTAACTTATTCCAAGAAGAAGCGATGTCATATTAAAATATTGAATTTCCACCATGTAAAACACGTCACGTACTTCGTTTTTCAGGTCGTGGATGCATAAATTAAAAAGGGAAAAAAAATAATTCATGATACGTGACTAAATTACCACGTCCTCTCGTTTCTACGTATATTAATAAGGATATAAATAACAAACTACCCCCGGATCCTTATCTTCTCCGAGGCTTCTTCTTCTACGATATCACAGGAAAATTTAACCTGATTTCAACTTCCGGCAAATTAAACTCCCCCGGTTGCAAACGTTGCAGTAACACGCTTCCGGATAAATAATTTGTCACCTACTCATTTTAATTAAACATACGCGTTTCGATATTGAAAACGAAACCCGTTCGCCCGTTCGAATCGAATATTCCATGTCGGCGCTCTCTGAACACGTGAAAAAAAAAAAAAAAAAAAAAAAAAACAAAAAGAAAAGAACCAAACTCGGTCTCGTTTTTGACGTTCTTTAGCAAGGACGAAACGCGGCAAAGAGGAGAGAAGGAATCAATTTCCCCGGGAGCTGCGAGTCCGCGCAATTAACCATCGAATGAGAATTTTACGGTTTCGTTCGTGGATAGCGACTAGCAGAGATCGAGATTTTTTCTTCCCACCCTCCCGTCGACTACAATATTGAACGGCAATGGTGGATCCGAGGGGCGAACATAAAGGATAAAAAGCAAAGGGGTGAAACGCGCTTCGCGGAGCGCGGTTCATTTTAAGCGCACTGATTGATGAACGAGACTGCAATGCCTTTCAAACCTTGCATCAGTCTCCGTCCAACAAACCTCGATCCTTTAAATCACCAGCTTGCCAAATCTTTTTGCAACTCGACGATTCTACGTTCACCGAGAATCTACCAATGCAAAAAGAACGATTCAATTACTCCATTGTTTTGAAAGTTTTTAAATTTATATTATCGAAAGAACACGTTTCTTTCGCCGTGTTAATTAATGGAAGAAGTCGCAACCCCTCGTGAAATCCACGATCGCCACTCCCCGACAATTACGACCCCTTCGTTCGAAGAAACGACCGAACCCGAACCACTCTCATTTTCGCCATTATTCGAACCGGAAATCAACTCGAACACCCTTCGATCTTTATTTTTTTCCATCGAGGGGTTCGATAAATCCGAAACGCCCATCGAAATCCAACCCCAAATAATCCTGAATCTGAAGGCGAATTATCAATTATATAATAGAAATTCTTTATCGATCCTTCGAATTATGAAATTCAACCATTTTCCGCCGTGCTTTTATTCGTAAGAATTTTCTTCAATTCCCCGGCATTTCCGGCCGCAAAAAACCAACTAATGGATGTTTTCTCATTAATCATCGCGTTCGGGACTGTGGTTGGTGCAATTTCTAAACGACCCCCTCTTTATTTTCATTCGTTTCACGCGTATATTTTCGTTTCAAAGCTCCTGTATTCTTCGAGTGATTGCCTAGAAAGTCAACGGACATTAATGCGACGTTCGTGCAATCGCCAGAGATTAATTTCTCCATCCTCGTTTCCTATTCGTCGCCGGCCGACAAAGGATCTTGGCTGGCTGCTTTTAATAGAATCGCGGCTGAAACAAGACTCCCGGGAACCCATTATGACCGTTGATGAAGAAAAAGGGGGTTGGAAAGGGCCCGCCTAAATCGAGCCTTTTAATTCGCTCGAAAAGTGTCATCGTCTACCGATCATCCGGTCTATCACGGTCGAATAAATCGCCGAATCTCGATAATCCATTTATTTTTCTCTACTCCGATCGATAGATTAACAATTCGTCGTGGAAAGTTTTTGAAATAAAAATCTTTGTTTTTCTTAATATTACAGAACTTAATAAAAATATTATATTTCTAATAAAATATAATTTTTTATGAATTTCTACCCCCTTGGATTTTACTTTTTTCTCTTTTTTTTCTTCTTTTCAAGATGAATTTATTACGTTATGCACGATCGAATTACGGTAAGTGGCATCATTCATAAGCTCTTTCGTTCGTTAGATGAACGGAAAAAGCCGATAGACATTAGCACGATGAACATTTAATCCCATGGGATTAATTCCATCTGAGCCTGCATATTCGCAGCTTCATCTACTCGTAGTTACTTCCTGTTGGAATAAAACGCTTTCATTTTGAAACAACAAACTCGGTATCCCTGTCCCTATTCATTCACCGTTCGTTGCTTAATGCTTTTTCTCATTGATTAACCTCGATCAAAGCTTAATGTATTTTATTTAATTAAAAGATCTTTAATGCGTTGGGAAACGATGGAAATAAGAGATATTCTATTTGAAACAGAGAAAAATCGTAAAATCGAATTAATAAACACCGATCTATGAGGTTAATTAGTCGTATAGTGTAACGACCAATTACGACTACCCATTATGTTGCTCTATTTATTATGTAATGTTTATTGCTCTCCAGAGTGCAATCCCGACCATGCACATTACAAATGCAAATGAATCGCCTGCAGTGTTCTTCGAATCCACGTACAATGCTGTATGCATAATGTTACATTATCGAAGATAAAAAAAATATTTCATTTAATTTCAGTTGATGAAATTTCAAAATGTATCAACTTTACTTCGAATAACCATGTGCCTAATGAAAAAGAAATTTTGAAAATCCGAAAATGGACCAAAGATCCTAGTTAATTTAATCCCGATCCCATTCGCAACGAGTCTGTTAAGAAAAGAAAACGCAGAGTTTCAAATTTATATTTTCCGTACCCTATATTTTAAATTTATATTTTCCCTTTGAAGCGCATAATTAAAAAGAAACTTCCAAAGTTTCGGATAGTACCTACTTTGTATTCTAATTTATTTCACCCTTCGTTTCATTTTAAATTAAAATTGATTCGTATATCATTTCAATCGAGAAGCAAACTTAGAAAATATATGAAACAAAAAGTAAATTAAAATTGGGACTCTCTCCGTGGTCCGTCAATCCTAGGGTTAAAGGAAGAGTCTAAAATTTACGAATATTTTCTGCAACCCGTCCTCTCTTTCGACTAAAAAGTATACAACCCTCGGTTTGAAGGATTCTTCAAGAAACCCTCAGTGTAACAAGAACTGACCCTTCAATTTAAAACCAGAAGTGCCTTCCAGAAGAAGCGTAAATTAGTAAATTCTTAATGACCTCTGCAAATGATGCTCGACGGGGTTTCCTTGTTCGAATCAACCCTTCGTTTGCGTGTTCCTTCGACTATCATATTAATGTCCCTGTTATCGATAATTTCATATTTCCTTACAAAAGTTGCGGGCTAAATCTTAACGATCTTACCGCGCATTCTCGCGCTCCTCTTCCTATATGCACTTCTACGCTTTCTAAAGTTCAAACACTACAGTTCCTTAACTGCTGCTTGAGTTTCTACACGATTACGGAATATAGCAGGTTTACTTAACGCTTCGGAACTTAGAATTGCAAAATGTACCCGGGAATATCCACCGATTAAGACTCTTTCGTCTCCTCGCTATCGAATTAATTTTCCAAGTCTTTTCGAATTTTCTTCGGCAAATATAAGCGTCCTAGACACCCCATAGATACGCTCTCAAGCACGGGATCGTGGTTTAGAGAGTAAATTTCGTGGTTTAGCACGCCGACCTGACATACCGCCACGAAACGTTTGGCGACGTGCAAACCGCAATTGCGGCCGTGTCGTCTCAACACCTCTAGCAAAAGCCACGTTATCTACATGATAATAAGAAGCCCCGAGTAATTAGAGAAAAACACGGGCGTTCGTGAAATAAAAAATTGTCAAATTTCCACTCGACGTTCCTTTTCTCGTTAACGTAATATTAAAATAAATTCGTAATTACGTAATATTAAAATGAATTCACTCTTAATTAGGTAGATCATCGTCAATTTCACCCCCGTTCGTTTAGCTCTCGTTTAAGATTCATTTATCCGGTAAAGGTTAATGCCTCGTCGAAGGGGATGAAATTCTTTTGACGGAATAGAATGCTGCATCCCTTACCTGTTCTGTTGTTCGTCGACAGTGACAGACGGGAGGAGGGTTGTTAGACGTTGGCCGAGGCAACGGGGTTGCTCGCCCCGTCGCGATGCTCACCGGCCCTCGAATCGCTCGAGACCGGCCAGACCCTCTTTCGCCTCCTTTGATCTGCCAGCAACCCCCAAAACGAACACTACGCCATGCTCCACGCTCCTGTTCAATCCACCCCCTGATTCCTTCTTCGGCCTACGCATGCCAAGAATTCTGAAACCAGAACAGAGACGCTTGTCAATCGAACAGGAAAAATGATCCTTTTCGTTCATCTTTGAATACTCCAAAAAGAATCAGCATTTTAACGAATATCGTTTGAAACATTCAGTGGTTCAGTTTATTATTTCAAAGAACGATATAATTAACACGTCGCGTTAACGATACACTCCAATTAACATCGCTGTCATTAAGCAATCGTTGCAATCAACAATTTACAATAATAACGATGTAAATTGCATGTATTTATATTAATATATCATGCCGATGATAACCTTTGGCTACGAACGAAAGGGTTCGTTGTTGAATAATTACCAGATAATAATGAACGGCAGAATGTTTCAAATAATTAGCGAATTTCGTGTCGGTATGCAAATCAGCTGATGAGATTAAAAATATCAAATGGTAAACCTGTTACAGAACAACCCTTTTGTGTTTCTGCTGTTTATCACAGTTACCTTTGGTAGCCAAAGGGTAGATTTCATTAACAGTATCCTAATAAAATCTATGAATAGAATCGAATCACCTTTTCCCTTTCCATTGATTCGTTACACGATCAATTACACCGGATCGACTGCATTTGCATAATGGAACGGCGAAGCAAAGTCTGCTTTTTCTCGCGGAACGAATGCTCTTTTCCATTCCATTAGGCAAGGTTTACCGAAAAAAGAAGAGTAAGAACGGTTCTTCTCTCCTTCTGTCGTTATTTTTCACGGCGATCGTCCGCGGGACGATTCGCGAAGGGAAGAAGAGACGTCGAACCCTCGTAGAAGTTTAAACGACATCGAACCTCTTTCAACCTTTCGCCCATCATGCGACGCGAGGCCCGTTTTACTTGTAACAACTCAGTTTGCAAAGTCGAGATGATGCTCGTCGATAAAAGTTACGTCGTTTACCGAGCACGTTTCTTGCCGGGCCGAAGCGGCGAGAGGAGTTTCGCGAGGGGAAAAGGACGGTCGAGGGTTAGGTGAGAAGAAATTGAGACAGATGGCTTTCTTTTTCCTTCTACACCTTTCGAATTCTTTTTACAATCCCGCCGATACAACGCGCCGGTTAATGGAAAATTATGGGTACAACGGTTCCCGATGGAAGAATCGGGATCGAAATTTTTTTCATTCGCAATAATTAAGGCGCCATTTCCGATATTTCCAATTTCGAAAGGCTCGCGCGAATTCCAACCTTCCGGATGGAATCCCCGTCATTTCAAGCGTCATCGTTCGAAACGCGTAGCGAAACAAATCTTCCCTGGAAATGAGCGACCGATGTTCCTCTCACTGGCTCCTGGTAATTACATCTCAACATCTGACAGTTATTACAACCCTGTGCCTTCTGAATTCCCGCGGAATTTCGCCGCTTCTAACTGAGAAGGACATTAACGCGGTAACATCGCAACCCCCGGAAAATATTAAAAAAGAGAATCTTTTAAAAAAGTGTAATTGCAATGCATCGATACCTCGGTTTAATCAACGGATACACGCGACTGGCGGAAGTTACAGCCTGATTCAATCAAACTTTCCTGGATATTTCAATAACGGACGATTGAATTTCCGAGGGAAAGGCTGGGTATACGCGTTGCACCCTTAAAAACTCATATCGTTACCCGCGAAACTTTCTGCATCGAGTTTTCGAGTGGACATCGATAACCGAAACGTTATTCCTCCAGTTTGTACCGGGTTATTAAATATTGCACGGCATTTTCGAAGACGAAAATCAATTTCATTTCTTTTTCCTTTTCTTCAACGCGTTTCATCAACGATAGATAAGGATGTTCGAAAATGGATTCGATGCACATAGCCGGCGAAGTGGTATCGTTGGCCTGTTTCCGCGGAATCGATACACCTATCGCACACGTGTATTTCGCACAGGTGCCCGACAAGGGGTGTGCATTCGCTTAAACGCGTGATATTTTTCTCTACCCTTCTCCCGGATCCCGCGTCCTTGCTCTTTACTGGCGTAAAGGGTGGGTGTTGATGCTAACCCACTCAGGTTTTATTTTTTTCGATGCAAGAAGAAAATTCCTTACGCCAATGAAGGGTTAAGGGGGAGTTTCTTTTTGTCGTGAATACATTTGTGAAACTAATTTGAAACTTTGTATGTTTATATCATACTTTTGTTAAATTTTAGGATTTATTTATCAGCGAGAAAAAGATATTTTGTGAGAAATGGTAACTATTCAAAATCAAATGTTCAATTTTACTGGACAGGTTGTTCATATCTTTGATATTTTAAAAAATCTATGCAATTTTGATTGTACGTCAAACGATAATAGAATTTTTCAGTCCTTCAAAAAATAAAGACCCGGAAAACCTTTTCCCAAAAAACGGCACGCAGCCCGCCATAGCGCTATTGCACCCTTTGACACCCCCGGTACAGACCGGGTTCTTAATCCCGCAAAGCTCCCGAATACACAATAATCTTTACACGGGCACTTTATAATCCAACAACGGAAGAAACAGCGATATTTAGAAAACTAAGATTTTTCAAATTCCATTTATACACGCGCGCGTAATATCCATCCTTTCGACGGGTGATTTGTCGGGAAAGGGGCGAATTCCACGGACGGTTGTTCTCGCGAATGCAAATATCTCAACGTTAGCCGAAGCCCGGGGGGAAATGGCGGAGCAATTAGTAGGTACGAATGAATGGGACGAATAGCTGTCGCGACGGTATAATCCGAATAAAATCAACGAGAAAACCGGATGATAAATGATCGTTCACGGACAAAGGGAAGATTCGAAAGTGTACGGGACGGTGGATGGGGTTTCGCAGTCAGATCTCGCGCGACGTTCGAATATCTTTCTTTCTTCCGGGAAAATGACAAACTTTCATTCCGTCGATGGATCCACCTTTCGAATCGAGGAATCAAACTTTTTAATGGAAAAGACGAGACGTCTGTTCCGTTCAGACGCGGGAATTATTTTTCGGAAAAATGACATCCGGACTTTCCTATCCACTTTACTCGACCTGCCCGTCTTCAGGAAGAGGGTGGTTTAAGATAGGGTTCGGACGAGGTGATTTACACGGCGGAAGGCGTCAAGGGAAAACCAGGAATATTACCGTTTCTACAGGATGTGGTCATGAATTATCCCGGGCTGCGTGAAATATCTTCAGACAGCTTTAGCACGTGCCCGTGTGTAAGACCTTAATGCCATTAGAAATTTCACTGCGCCAACCGAGTGAGTTGAATTAAGCTAAAGAAATATTTTCCTCCTCTCAACGTTTCCCAACGGACTCGACAGATTTTACGATACACGCTTCAAACGCTTTATATTTAAAAAGAATAAAGAAGAAAATACGGCGCCGAATCGGTGAATTTCATCGGTGGGGGGGAAACATTTTCTAAACAGAAAATATCGTATCGATCTGGAATCGAAGACGGAAGTAACGAGGAGGAAAAGCAGGCTACTTTGCTGAACCAATGGAGAAACCAAGGAAACCGTTCGTTCGCGGTGCTGAAAAATGGAGCAACGAAAAAGTTTCGCTTTGCCCTGGCAATTCCTTATTTTCAGATTTATTCGCGCCAACTACCGCTGAAAAACTGTTCTCATAAGGAAATAACATAAATCTGTGGACGACGGTAAATTCAGCTGAAATAAAGACTTTGTTTGTCTCGTAGATATTCCAGTTTAGTTTGATTCTTTTCATTCAAAGAAAAGAACTTGAACCAAATTAAATTCAGAATGCGTCATTCGATAGCATATCAAAAGAAAATACTGCACACCAATTTTCAACCGTTTATCTTAACCAGAGGTGCAGTGAGGGGGAGCAAAAGAGGGGTGCCCCATTTCTCCTATTTAATATCCAAAAATTCGTAAAAAAATTCTGATCCACTACAAACACGGTAGCGCATATTAGGGAATTTTTTCAGATTTTTTCATTGCAAATCCTAGTTGTAAAAAATGAAAAACCGAACAAACAATCTAAAGAAACGCGATTTGTTATTGAAAATTTAAGAGCACTAGTTTTATATTACTATGGTAATAACATATTAATATAACTATTACTCTTGAATTTTTTCACATTTTTTGTTGTTTTGCAACGTAGTTAAAAAAATCAAAAACCAATTATTTCGCATGAAAAAGTTAGAATATGAATGTGAATCCATTAAAAAGTACTTAATACATATTCTGAAAAAACAGGAAATAAAAATTCGAAGTAGAAGTTTTGCCTACTTTACCCGGCTATACTTTTCAAGGATTTTCGCCTTTGTTCGTTCCAGAAGTATCAAGGTATTTCAACGACTATTATACCGGCTCGATGCGAATTATCGGAACGAACGGAACGGGGATGATCGCATAGATGTTCGATTCCCGTTGAATAACGATGTAGCTCGTTCGGCCGCAATATCCTAATGTCCTATCCGAGTCCTTGGATAAAACCTGGCCAACAGGATCGCGTGAATACACTTTCCTCTATCCAGCCCGGTCGGAACTATGCGTTCTATATCCGTTTTACGGCTCGATGAATGCCTATGAACGGCGCCCTTTCAACGCGTCACACTCGGCTCGCCGAGTAAATTAGATACGTGACGAGGGGAAGGAAAATGTCAGGGAGAATTCTTGAAATTTCCGTCTTTTCGCGACTGGATATTGAAAGGAATGAAACGTAAACAGGAATCTTGAACTGTACACGTTCAGAGGAGAAAATATTTGAAGAAAATTGAAGAAATCAATATCGTTTCTACGAGGTGTACTAATTGCTCTGTAAGAAATAAAATGAAAGTTTACCTTTACCTTTTTACAGCTCCGTGGATGTTTTCGAAGAGCGAGTGTTTCAATTTGATTTCTATTTTGTTCATCATTCTCGAATGTTGATCATTTGGAAATAAGGAAAGAAGACAGGAAGTAGATCGATAATAAAGAGGAACGATGCTTTACGAGAAACTTTCATAATTAAGCTTGAATCTTGCAGTCAGCTGAAATCGACTTAGTTCGTAACGACGACGCTTTCATCAAGCCGTAACCAAATTTTCGAGTAAATTGAGAAGGAAACTTCTC